GATCTATTCTCTTGAAATTGTCCTGAAGCCGGTAGATACTCTTCTTCTTATTTTTCTTTCTTTCCTTCGAGCTTCCTTTTCCAATCTCCGAACTTCTTGTTGTTGTCAAGGTGCTTCGGTCCTATTTCTCTTGTTTTTCTTTTAGTTTCCAATCTTCTTGGTGTTGTGGAGGTTCTGCAAGCTGCTACTGTTCTTCTTTCAATTACCGATCTTCTTTCTTTTTTTTTTCTTTCTGTCTCCGAGCTTCCTCTTCTTTTGCATTGTCTTCGATATTTTTGACCAAGTCCAGCAACCAACATTTCATCAACTTGCTACATTTCGGCTGTTTGCTGCCGTGTATTTACCATACCTTAATGATTTTTGATATAATTTCCTGTTCCTACCTTGTCCGATTTTCGAATAGCCTGTTCTGTTCATCATGAGATGTTCTAGAAACGATCATTCGGTTGAATTGTTTCTCAATGTCAAAACCAGCAATTGACCAGCAATCCTTCCACTAAATCAAATTGTCTTGCTCATTAAGCTACGGTCCGACGATTTTAATCTGATACTCCAAAGGAATGTGAACTGGTGGATCCCTACGTTAGAACGCCAATGGTCACCTGACGTCACACCTCTTTTTGCCATATGCTTCACCCCCTCGCTCCTCATACGGGAACTGTCAGATTAAAAACGTCGGACAATAGATAATAGCTGCTTTACGATCAAACCACTTTCTGACCTAACTTAAAGAAAATAACTGAACTGAGAATCAGTGCAAAAAAAATATATTTTTATCCTTATATTTTACATGCTTTTAGAAAAAGATGCGAATGCACTCAGTGCACACTGATCAACAAATGGAAATCGAAAACGCTAACTTAGGTCAGAAAATGGTCTGATCGTAAGCAGCTTAGATTATTCTAATTTCAAAGAATGACCCGAACACGAAATGACGGCTTACTCATCGAATAAAAAATTTTTAGATATAGGAGACATGATTTTTCACCAATTTTAATCAGAAATAATATGAGTTTCTCCAATGAACTTTCTCAAAGACTTGAAATTCGGAAAAGGTTGCCCTAGTATTGCTTAATATCCAATCTGTTAGGAATAAGGTGGAAGAATTGGTGTTATTTTTGAAGTCTTTGAATTTTCCTTACATTGTAATTTTGGTCGAGCACTGGCTTAGATGTGATGAACCTCTTGGAATATTTGCCTGTTGTCAAACTATTCTCGGAAGTAGTATGCACATGATGGAGTAATGATCATGGAACAGAACGACTTTCTCAACAAATTTAAGTTTATTTCAGTTGAGAAATTTTATCATCTTCTGGAGGAGAAAGTTTTTGAAGTTACTGTTGTGTATTGTAGTTGTTTTAACTTGTATGTATTGGGGATTTATAGATCTCCTTCTGGGAATTCATGATTTCATGTATAAACTGGAATCGCTGTTGACTAAAGTTTCACTTAACGTTAACATACTTAACTTTGACTGGTGATTTGAATATAAATTTCTTTGACAGGGACAATAGACATAATCAGTTGCTGTATAACTGTTGGATTCTTTTAGTTTGTGTATGCATGCCAACATGTAGCCAACCAGACTTACAGCTTTGTCATCATCTGTCCTAGATTCTATATCCTCTAACATTGATACACACTCAGTGGACTGTAAGATTACGAATGCTGGGTTGTCCAATCATGAAGCTGTACATTGTTGCTTCCCCTGAACATAAAAAAAGACGTGATAGACTGTATACAGAAGGGAAATTTGTAAAATTTAAACTGTTGTGTACACAAACTGACTGGAATGGTGTTCTTGCCACAGACGACTCTTTGGAAACGCTTCACGTTTGTGGCACGGCTCATTGTTAATAACAATGTTAATACATCCTTCCCAATTGTTAATTCAAAAAAAAAAAGGAAACGTAGACCTTGGAATACCAAAGGATTACGTATCTCTGAGAAAAATCTAAGTTCTCTTCACTACATAAGAAAATACTCCATGAACAACCAAGATTTCACTCAATGCTTTTATAAGTATCGCAACATTTACCAATATTCTATCAAACTCGCTAAGGACATTTATTACCGTGAAAGAATCAAAAATTCTTCACATATAAAGAACACACAAAAAACATTAAAAGAATCGTGCAGAATTGATAGTGGCTTATTGGGGAAGAATAATAATAAGAACGTGGTTATAAGCAAGTTTAAAATCATAAGCCTTAACCACTTTTACAGTAGCATTGCATTCAATCTATCCCTGGGTCTAATCTGGAGCACATTGTGGTGACTGAGACATTTTTTTTCTCCCCAACATTAATACACGAGATTAGGAAATATATTTTCGAGATAAATAGGAATACACCCGGTTGGGATAATCTTTCTTTGAGGGTTGTGCCATGTTTGCTTCATGAACTTTTGCAAGAGCTAGTTCGTTTCTGTCGGGCGAATTCCCTGTGTGACTCAAAGGAGCTATGGTTATTCCCTTGCATAAAGGTGGAGACCACGATACGCCGTCGAACTTTCATTTGTGGTTAAAATGGTGGAAAAGCTTATGAAGAGAAGGATGTTAGCCGTTGTCAGTGGGCTTGGAAGCTCCTACTTGTCGGGTAGATCGCAGACCCTAAGATTTCAGGATGGTGAGTCAAAACGACCGAGTGAACATCAATGTTGGGATCCCACAGGGCTCTGTGCTGGGACCTAATCTTTTTCTCGTTTACGTCAATTATCTACCCCAACTGCCAATTTCGAGAAAGTTTACTATTTTTGCGGATGATACGACCATCTTGTGGCATGGTTCAGATGTGGAAAGGTTGAACAATGACATCAATGCGGATTTGAGGAGGGTAAAGACCTGTTGCGACTCTGAACTTTAGATGCGAACTAGAAAATGTTTACCTGAATGATAATCCAGTAACTCGACAAAACAGCAACAAATTCTTGGGTCTCATAATTTGTAAGTCCCTCAAGTTTGAGGATCACATTTCTAATGTTCGTAATAAAAGGGTTTCTTCAGGATGTTTTGCCTTAAGATAATATCTGGGAGAATGGATGTCTCGGTTGCTTTGGTGGAGTGACTTCACCTACGTTATGGTATATGCTTTTGGGCGGCTGCACCCGTTCATTGTTTGATTCAGTGTTTCTGCTTCAGAAAGGGCAGTACGTTGTACATTCAGTATCACGACTCGTGATTCTTGTCGCCATCGAGCATGCTATCCTCACGCTTTATTCGCTGTTTATACTGGAAATGGTATGCATGTTCAGGAAGTACGGGGCTGAGGTGGGGGTGAACAAACATTGTCAGTCTTTTGTTCTCAGTTTGCCCATACCATATTCATAACTGGTAAAAAAAAATATTTATATATGAAGGTAAAAAACTGTTCAATCACCTCACCTTCCAATAGAAATAAAAGTTTGGATACTACAAGAGTTTCAGAAAGCAGGTTAAACTTTTTTGGGTAATAAAGAATACTATAGCCTTGATGAGTATTTTAATTAAAACATCTAGTAACTGGTTGGGCGTAATACATTGTTGGCCCTTGGTTTTGACATGTATCCTGGTTTCTATTGTAATGAGTTAAATTCTGTATTTAGGTATAAAAAGCGTACCTAAAGTCATTCTTTGTTCTGCACTGTTATGTATTGTGCTCGATACATTGCTATTTTATACTTTTTCTCTGTTTATCATGCTTTGGTAAGACTTATAATTTCTGTTTTTTGTTCTTTCATTCCCTGTTTTGACTGAGTTATGTTTTAGCTTTTGTTTTAAGACTTTATTTAAGTACGCCTTTGTCAGCATCATTTTTGTTTCAAGACAATAAAACTATATTTTGATTTGTTTTGATTTGATTTAGTTATCTTTTCGGATACTTTCTCAAAAACTGCATAAATATTATTTAGCCAGGGAATCTGACGCTACTAGGCATCGGTAAGGGGAATGCATTAATAAAAAAAGATGTCCGATTTCATTCATAAAATACCCCGCTGCGTCCGAAATTTTTTGAAAGTTTAATATCATTATGCAACTCGTACACAAAAATCGCAAATGACAAAACCACCGCCACTGGATATTTCAATGTAGGTCGATATTTTAAGACGGGAGGATGAAATTACAGAAGCCCTGGCCAATAGCGAGACGTAATCCACATGACAAATTCATGGGTCCCCATGACAACTTCATGGGTCCGCATGACAACTTCATGGGTTCCCATGACAACGGCGTTCGTGACAAAAACTCCAATCCAATCAGGTTCATCCAGGCCGCATGTTTGCCAAATTGACAGAAGCTGATGGTATCTTCAGAAAATGTTTACCTTTTATAATAGACAAAATTGAACAGGAATAGATCCAGCAACCACGTTAACTTCTTCATGTCTAGTATTTTTGCTTTTTTAAAATTAAACGTGGCAACATCGCACATTTTCGTTCGAATTCCTTAGGTAGCTTCAGATCCCCTGGTCAAAATTGGTACGTGATTTTGCTGCAATATTGATCTATTTATCAATTGAATATGTATCTTTTAATAGAGAGTTCTCGTGCCTCAGTGGCTACGCTAATACGGTACCGCTAACAATACGGTATTTTACATGGTATTTTATAGTTCTCGGACACGAAGACTCAAAAACCCTCTAATCCCTTATTCTGTTTACATTTTGATAGCTGAGTTGAGAGATCTAACCCAACTTTTTTTGCTTGTTTTCTTAACTTATTATTTATCCTGAAGATTCTGAAGTTTGATTAATTTCCCTTGGTGTTTCTTACGGAGGAATTATTAGAAGTTGCTGTTTTTGCAGACGTAAATGGAGCGTAAGCTAATTTTGACATAGCATAGCGTTACGGTAAGGCATCCGCTAAATCCCGTTAGATAGCGGGCACCGCTAATGCTAATCCCGTAAGAGCTGTCATACATGTCAAATACCGTTACGGTATTTGAAATTTGGACAGCCCGAGAACTCTCTAATGTTGACATAAATTCCCTAATCCGTCTAACTTTTTTTTTTCTGTTTTTATAGAGCCATGCAAAGACCTATCAATGTTCTGTACCAACGTGAAGTCCTTGGATATGTGCAAGATAGTTCGATATAAACAGCAATGTTGTCAGACCTGCAAAATCAGAGACTAAATACTTATAAGTGTTTTACTTTTTTTTAAAAATGTTGCCTGTGAAACTATATTATATTCTTAGTTTTAATTGGGTCAGTGTGAGGGCTTAGAGCAAAAAAAAAATACATTGAGAATCAATATTTATGCGTTTTTATTCTAAGTCCTTTCGACCGGCCCAAACTGTGTAAATCCTCACCTGTTTTTAGCAATAAGTTTTTTACATAATTTTTATCGTTAACTTTTTGTATTTTTTCTTATAAATAATGTAAAGATTTAATAAAACTTTTTTCTTTGTATTATCAGGGATTTTTGTTGAGCGCATTTTATTAACACTGTTCCAATTTTTAAGACTGACTTTTATAATTTTTGTGTTTGTAACAGTTTTTGCAAATGGCTTACCTATTCCGATGCATGTTTAATGGTAATATACTGGATGTTTTCTTGTTTTAAAAGAAAAATGTTTGGCTCTTGTATCAGAAATTGCCCTGTGAATTCGTATAAAATATACCTACGTTAGATATTCTTTTGACATTCCGTTAAACATATAAAAATTGCATAATAAAATAATTATTGCTGTCAGTAAATTTAAGAAATTATCGTTAACTTTGTCCAATGTATATACCTACTTAAATAGAGCAGGACCAGCTTGAAGTTAGGCTAAATAATTTCTAAAGAAAACAACGCCATATTAGATATTTTGTATTTATTGTTTTTTTTTTGTTATGATAAACATTTAGGTGGTGCTAATTCGTGAAAATATTTTTTTTACTTATTAAATAAATCTGCCGAATATTTTTGAATGAAATATTGAAAAGGAACATTCTATATAGCATTAAAAGATTAATTATTATATGATCGACCATTATAGGTACATTTGTGGTTATTTTATCAGAAAATACAATAAACCTTAGCTATGCATAATTCAGTAGCAATTCTGTGCCTCTATGATGTCTGAAAAAAAAAAAATATTCACCGTCAACAAAGTGATTTAACAATTCAGCTAAAAAATATATTATTTATTGTATTTTCTTAAAAAATCAGCATCCTATTTCAAACAGTATTAAAATTGTTATTTCATATATTGTAAAAAAAAAACATTGTTTTAAAATAAATATTATTACACGATGTTACGGACAGAGCTTTAATTGTACCTATAAGAAGGAAAGAGCTTTACCCTATTTAAAAAGCCGAAATGTAAAAAACTGAACATAAATTAAATGAATAAACTATAAAAATAATGTAAATTGTAATTATATACTAAACCACCTTTAGAGCCCTAAACTAATTGTTAGTTAGTTATTATTGTTAATCTATTATCCGCCTAATATAAAAAATCCAATTCAATTGATGGCTTGGTAATCTATAAGAGAAAAATTATTGTCAATATACATAAAATGTATGAAAAAAGAGATATTAGCAGAGAGAAATTTAAATTTGTATGTCGTTAACTAAGAAATATGTTCCAAAATACATACTAACAAAATTAACCAAAACATTAACTTTTCTTCAATAAAAGATTTTGTTTTCAAATGGCTTGTATTTATTGAAAGACCTCAATTACCGTATATATTTTTATTAAAATTATACACAAACTAATTGATTTACCAGTTCAAAAAAAAAAAAAAAATGAAGGATTATTTAATTATTGAATCTATTCGTGTATAAGATGTACATATATTGATTTAATAAAAATTTAATTCTATTCAAATTTGTTTTCAGTTCCTTGCCCACATGAATATGCATTTTGGTCGTAGATTTTTAATAGTTATTTAAGTATTGTAGCCCCTTTTGTTAATGAATTAACAACAAGTCCATAATATGCTCGGTTTGCTCAGCAAAAAAAAAAAAAAAAATAGGTGTGGGTTGATAGTTTTCAATAAGTACAGTATGGCAAGGGCGCCACTGAATTTAAAAAAAAAAAATTATAAAATTGGTTTTGAGGCCCCTTAAGTTGGGCGCCAATTTATGTAACCCCTTTTGTTAATGAATTACAAGAAATTCATAATATGCTCGGTTTGCTCAGCAAAAAAAAAATAGTATGGCAAGGACGCCTCTGAATTTAAAAAAATATATATAAAATTGCATAAATAATGGAAGTGTGAAAATTCAAAAACACACCTAGAAAATATTAGCAACCGATAATTGCTAATCCTGAAAAAAAAAAAAAAATGCACACAACTCAATTCTCGACCTATGGGTAAACCGATAAAACAATTAAGTAAAATTTCAAATTAAAATAGTGTATATTTCACAGTCAGTAAAAAATTCAGTATTGGTTTATTCCAAAATATGTATAAGATCAACACTATTCTTGGTAAGACCGACCAATCGGATTATTTAAGCTCAAAAAAAAAAAATAATAATAATAATAATAATGATAATAATAGCATAACAACAAATTGTACCTAAATATACTTGCCTCATAAATTCATTAACATTAGCTACCAATATCATCAATTTGAAAGGAAAATATAAAGATTTACGTTTCCAGAAAACTAATTAAAAAAATTGAATAATTAAAAATTTCCATCAAAAAAATATGGTCAATCTCTGCAAAAAATAAGATTAAAAAAAATAAGTTGTACCTGTAAAAAAAAATCAAAGGTTGGGCTATAAGTCAAATGGTCGAATTGAAGGGAATCCTGCGATATATAAGTTACAGGAGCCCGAGTTAAAAATTGATCAATTTTCGACGGTAAGCTATTATTCAAGAATTCAAGTTCAGAACATCTTGTACAACCTTGACCCTTATTCAGATTACTTATTTATAAAATTGATAAAATATAAGGCAACATTAGAAGTTATGCTAACATAGTAAAATCAATAAACTAAGAACCAATTTTTTTTCGCCATTGTGTCAAGAATAATTTGTAGGTGTCATATATAAAAAAAAAAATTATCATAACTTTGTTAATCGACAGTAAAACTGATTTTATGAAATAAAAGATGTAAGATAAGAATTATTAGTAGAACTTATAGAAGCCTTCATCCCAACAAAAGGCAGATCCGGAAACCAGCCATTCTCGATATCTGGACGAAAGGGGCCGCACATGGGAGTGGTGGATTCCAGCCCAGGATCCAGACAAAAAAGGTACTATAATCGTCGTCAAAGGTGGGGCACACGTATCGATCTGTGGGGGTCTTGATTCTAAAAGGGTAGGAAGCCCTTCAAAGGCTCAATGTCAAGCTCCACGGAAATTCTGTTGATTTGAAAATGTGGCCTTTTTGGAATGGACTTGTTGGGAAAATCGGCCGTCCGAAAGACCCACTATTTTGGGTTGAAATTCAAACTTAAATTAAATCGTATTCACAAGACTTTTTGATTCGATTTTTTTTTAAATCGACAGATTATTGCCTCACGCAACTTTAATTCGTTAAACAAGGCAACGCCCAGAGGCCGGTAAGGTTTTTTTTTTCGATCACCACTTTCAGCCAATCAACCTTTCAGTTCAACGGTACAATTCAAAAAAAGCGAGAATCGATTTGATACGGGCCGGGTAGGTACGGATATAGCGCTTCCTCTCCAGATAGTCACGGAAATTGTTGGTACTAACCGGTGTGTCAAATTGCGCCCTCAAGTGTAATAATTTAATAATTGCCGTATAATAAATAGCGGGAACCCTGTATTTTTTAAATGCTATTCAACATTAAAAAGGGTTATATAAAGTTAAATTTGAAAGGAAAAAGGACAAGTAACTTTAAACGTTACAGTATTAAGGGCGGTAAGTGTCATCTACCGCCCGAGATTGTTTGAAGACCGACGCGACAGCGGAGGTCTTCAATATTTGAGGTTGATTAACGACATCTAACGCCCAAAATACTTATTAAATAAGTTTTATGCACATCGGACTCTTCCAGTTCAAAAATAAAATAACTATAAAGTTTGTTTCGCCAGGGTTTGTACTTGCCACCAGCATTTGCCTTCCTTGTTTAACAAATAAAAATTGACTGAAATAAATCAGACGTCAAAAACGTTCGTCGGTTCTTAAACCAGAAGTCATTCATTTTAACTTGTCAAAAAAATTGAATGTGTCATATGAATTAATCTACGACAACCCTTTTTTTTCAAGTTTCAAGGAAGTATGAACCCTGTTGAAACGAACCTTACCTACAATATACACCGTGATTAACGTAGCCCTTGCATTAGAATTCAATGGGATTTTAGGTGGATTAATAGAGTCAGCATCTAATCCACCTGCAACTTAATGAACGGGCTACGTAAATCACCCTGTATAATGGCATCCATTGGATATTGTTTTCAAAAATAAACAGTCTTTCCCTTTATATAAAGGCGCGTTTCCACTGAAAAATTGGCAACTTCTGTATTTACAAATCTTCCAAAAATCAACAACTTTTATATTTTTCATAGTTATCTACACCGATTTCGGTAATAATAGATGTGGTATCAAGTGGTATAGTTGTTGGGTGAATTTAATAAATAATTCTAGCTGATTTATCTCCTAAAAGAGACTGGCGGTAAGTTGAATTTACCGCCCTGTCGTGCATAAATGTTTATTACTTTTTTATAAACAATAATGATTGTCATTATTAGAGAGTTATTTGAACTATTAAATATTGCCTCGCAGTATTAAGGCTCTACGTTATTTTATTAGTGCATCAGCACTATTTTTCCAAGAAAATAACATTCATTGGAAGACTGTAGTAGGTGTTAGAGAATTACCTTATTTTGTATTCATAATTTGGACAGCTGATAGCTAGGTATGTTTATAAATTTCAACCTCAAAAAGTGTTTTTTTTTGTTTGTGATTTTCTGCTGATATCCATTTTTTGATGTTACCTACAGTAAAATGGTAAACCATTGTAAAATAGTATATTAAAATACAAGTTGCAGAAGGCCACATATTCCCGCACGAATTCGAAATTTGGTCACGAGCGACAAAGCAGCGAGTGGACGAACAATTGAGTGCGAGAATAGCCTTCTGCAACGTGTGTTTTATACTATTTTCTCGATTTTGGATTTTATTTTTCATTTTTAAATTTTTTTTTGTGAACTCTGTTAGTTGGGGATTTTTTATTTTCAAAATATGTCAGTTGGTGACACTTACTTACCAACCAACTGACAGGTGGATTCGATCATTTTCTTAGAGCAGGTAAAGCGCTGTCCTACGGACATAAGGAGTAGGAACGCGCCATTCTGCTTATGAAACTAAAGTGAAGCCAAGTTTTTGGCAGGTGTTTGGCACCAAAATACAGGTAGAGCATTGAATTGCCATAACCGCCATTTTTTGTGGGCCAAGATACCTGGAAAAAAACAGCTTCATTCTCCAAATCCAGGTTACTACTCCTTTACCTTTACCTGCTCTAAGATCATTTTAGAAGGTTTGACAATTTTGAAGGTACCAATAGGTATAGGTACTTTGAAAACTAAATGTCACTAAAAATCGTTGAAGAATGAGCTTCATTCTTCAACGATTTTGCGTGCGGGAATAATGACATTCTCACATCAAAATCGAGAAAACATATTCTCTAAGTAAAATTACGTCATCGTCGAAAAGCGAAACGTCAAGTCGTCAAAAATGTCAGAAATATTGAAATAAGGGAAATTTACTGCTTGCACTTACCATACACAAATAAAGACAAGCAGTGACTTTATTAAGGGAATCCTTATGCTCAGACCCAAATGCGCATGCGCAGATGTCAAAATAAGGCTAATTTAAATACTGATCGTCCTTATTGCACGTCCAATAACTCTCTATTAACTGTTTGAATTGTTCTAAAACTTGTGGACTGTATGTTTTTCTTTTTGTGAAGTTTTATACTTCAGCTAAGTTATTTTGGGTTCGGGTCCAGGATGGTGTACATTAAACAATCACATTAATACACTTAGGTTTATTATAAAATGATAAAATATCAAAGTTTGTTACATCACAATAAAGTACTTGCAATTTAGACTATTCAGTATGGCGGTCGGTAGCAAAAGAACATTCTGGGAAATAGAGCGAGCTCACTGCCTTTTGGCTGCGTGCATGTCATACCTGAATTGAATATAATTAATAAATTGTATTGTTGGTTACGTTACTGCACTTTTAGTTCAACTTAAATTCGGGGAGGAAAAACAGACAACGTCTTGAACATTTCATTAATTTATTGACAACTTACATTAAGAATAGATATTTTTCCATTTTCTTAATACTTCCGCCTCACTTTCCTCAGCTAGCTGTTTCAAAAGGCCCCAACCTTTTTTAGCTGTTATTAGTACATAGTCATTTCCAGGATCTTGTAAACTTGCGTGAGCGCCTAGCACAAGTGATTGACAAAATCTTGCCATTACACAAATCTGAAACTTGCATTTGACAATAAGATTCTCAATTATTGTTGATGAGTTGTACCTTCAATAAATTGATATCCTCCTCTCTCATTGGCCTTACAGATAAATATCCGGCTAAAACATGGCCTCCAGCCTCAATGTCATTAGCTAAAACTATCATGTACATCATAGCTAAAGCTAATTCATATAGATAACAACAATAATGAGTATCTCCAAAATCTATAACTGATGTAACTTTTGTTTTTTCATTTTCGGTTTCGACTATTAGATTTTGTTCATTAATATCTCCATGAATTATACCTGGAAAATTTGTAATTAATAAGTATTGTTTGAATTTAATTTTGTATTAGGTACTTATACCTTTATCTAGTTTATCTTCATTTATAAGTACTCTTGAAGAAAACTCGTTGATTGTTTGTTTTACCAAAACTTGCTGTTTTTCATTTACAGAATGTAGATAGTTTAAAATATCCGGTGCTGACGATAAACACCATGGAATGGTTTTATGATAGGCTGGATGGTCAAATTTCTGGAAATGGAAACAAGTGAATTCAAATCATTGGATAACCATATTCGAGGATGTTTTCACGTGCGATGGAGAGATGCGTGAAAAACCTCTATATTTCAAAATACAACTGCATTATCATTTCTAATATAAGCAAAATGAGTGAACATTCAACAAATAATAATCCTTATTTGACATCAGGTTTTATAACAAAAGTTATAATAAACAGGCCGTATACACAAGAACTAGTCCATGCATAAATGGACTGAAGTCCGTGAGAAGCTTTTCCTTCAACAAAGAACTAGTGGATTTACAGAAGGTCTAGTTCATTTGTATGCTATATGCATCTGGGCCATATATTTTTTTTATTATTTGCAGCTTAGTTAATTTATCAAGACCGGTTTATTCATCTTTCGATAAACTTGCTGGTAACTGTCTTCAAGACAAATATACCAAACTAACATCTGGCCGACCAATAGGATCACCTATAGATTGCGTTTTTATCGGTCAGATTGCATTATCTGATCAGAAAGTGAATAAACGGGGCCTTAGAGTTACATAATAGATCCCAGCAAAACGATCTTAGTTCCGTTTACGGAAAGAAGGATCTGCGAGCCCCCACTCTTAACGACATACAATTGTCTGTCTTAGATGAAGTTGAGTATTTAGGGGTCACCCTGGACCGCAAACTTACTTGGAACAACCATCTGATCAAAAAAATATGGCGGCTACGGCGGTCACTTGGAAATGCTGCAAACTCGTGGAGAAAACATGGGGGATAAGACCAAAAATGCTATATTGGATTTATCAAACGGTTGTTAGACCCATTTTCACTTACGCCTCGTTGGTGTGTGTTGGTATGATGGCCAAAAACTGAGCAAATTACTTCACAGAAAAGTCTACGTTAATCAAACAAAGATTACTATTCCAGACAAAAAAATGTAAAGCTGGTGATCTGAATGGCCACTTACGCATCCTTCAATCTATAAAGTTCGAGTGCCAAAATAAACAAACAGATCATATGATAACATCACTGGATTTTGACCTTCCATATGCAGTGTTTGTAAAGGAACGCCAACCATGAGCGACCTAAAGTAGACAAGGCATAATTGTGGTACACAGATGGTTCGAAGCTAACGGAAGGGGTCGGTCTGGAAATAACTGAACCAAACTTTAAACTCTCCTTAGCAATGGGTCAAGCGTCCACAATATTTCAAGCTGAGGTACTGGCCATAAACATCTGTGCCCAAGATTGCCTTAAAAGAGACCTTTCAATAGAGCACAACATCAACATAGGTACTGTCCGACAGTCAAGCGTCTCTGAAGGTTCTTGGAGCCATAAAGTGCAATTCGCAGCAAGTTTGGAATGGTGAAAATATCCTTAAGCAACTGGTTGGAAGGAAGGATCAAAACCCTGATGTGGGTACCAGGAAACTAGGGTACAAGAAGGCGAACTGTCTCGCAAAGCAAGCTGTAACACCTTTTCAAGGCCTAGAACCTTCGTATGGACTAATGAAAGGCCACGTCTCCGAAGAAATATGCAGGTGGGAAAGGGATCGAATGAAGGTTCTGTTGAGTGGCGTAAATCTCAGTTTTTAAATGTCCCGATAAAAAGAAGTCTAATGGTGACAAATCTGGCGACCTTGGTGGCCACTCAATAGAACCTCGCCTACCTATCCACCTTTCCGGAAATTCTTGGTTCAAATATAGTCCTAGCGGTAAACTAAAAATCCTGCAAATTGTATTAAAATCATGAAACTTGGTAGGCATCTTAAATAGGCCAAATTATTAAGAGATTTTACCCGCAGTACCCAAAAAAATACCCCAATGGAGCAGCTCAGGGGCGGAGTATAATTTAAGGGGGTCGAATTTGCAAATAAATGTAATAATAACCAATGCGGTGTCATTTTATATTGATTTGATATCGCTGAAGTCATTTTTTTTTATAACTTCCGAATCTGAGACAGGCGAAAAGTTTCATAACCATCTCAGCAAAGGGATCTGGACGACTTGTTGACATGAACAGAAGAGACATTAGAACAGTTGTTGGTCTGCTCACTGGGCATTGCCTGGTGAAATATCACCTAAAAACACTAGGCAAATTAGACAACGACCACTGCAGATCTTGGGTACGGCTAACACCCCAAGAATTGGACGCTTTACTACCCAGGAAGCTGGCCTCGTTTGGGAGAAGCCTACAAATCTTGGACACCAACTATAGAAGCAGAGCACAAATATCTGGAAACGTACTTAGCAGTGCTATAGCAGCTGGAACAAGCTGTAACGACTCTAAACGCAATCGACAATCTACATCATAAATTATTGTTGCGAATACATGGGCGCCGGCAGGGGGGGGCAAATCGGGCATTTGCTCCCCCTGGATTCAGAAAGTTGAATTATACAGCAAAATCAAAATATATTTATTTTCTCAAAAATATAGAACACAACACATGTCAAAAGAAATCCACAAAAGAGCATACATTTTATTCATACATAAAACAAAACTATAGTATATTACATACCGAGTAGGGAAGTGTTTCATTACTGTCGAGAGATTGACTAATAATCTCGAGACAGAAATGAAAACTTTCGTCCGAGGTTTGTATACTATTTTATTTGCAAGCACACCATCAATTATGATTTAATTTTTTTAATATTAAAAAAACAAACATGCCAAAATGTGTCATTCACTATTTTGACGTTTTTACCTGACATGTTCTCATTGTTGCCAGCAAAGGTAAATAAATTACAGTGAGGGAAATCGGTGAGGGAAGTCGAATAGGGAAATCGGTGAGGGAAATCGAAGAAGGAAGTGACACAGGTAAAGTGTCACTTCCAAATTTTTAAAAAGTCAGTAATGACAAGATTACATATATGATTGCAAATAATTACATACCGAGGTGGAAAGTGTTTCATTACTGTCAAGAGATTTAAGTTAGAAGATTACCTAAACAAGTGCAGTGGCGACGCGTGAACAATAGTCAGGGAGGGGTAAATGGTACGGGGGGCTGAGCGGGGGCCTCTGAAAACGCGCCGCAGGCGAATTTTTTGCAAATTTGAAGGTCATTCACTTTTCCAGAATAATTATTTCCTTTGTGAGAAAAATAAAATTATGTATTTTTTTTTGGCATCATGATTTATCCCTTGATAATTCGATCCTGGGGGGGGGTAATTACCCCCAGTACCCCCCCCCCGACGCGACGCCCCTGAACAAGTGATGCGGACAGTGAATTTGTGTCGAAAAAAAATACCATCATTTTTAACTAAATATCGATATCAAATAAGTAAGTTAAAATGCTCAAAAAGGGGCGTGGCACCAAAAAAAATTAGCCTACGGCGGTTGCCTGTGGCGCTAATGGAAATATGGTCTTATTATAATACTGCCCCGCACCCCCCCCCCCCCCCCCCTGAGAAACCTCGTAACGACGCCCATGATTGCTCGTATTCTGGGTCGTGAGGAACCAAAGATAGCTTCCAGTCCAGCTCGAACAAGGACTTCATTACTTTTTGTGAACTTCATTCTCAGGTTTTCCTGGATCTTGGAATCTCTAATAACATCAATGAACGCAGATACTGCGATCCATTCCTGCGTGTCTTTCCCAGCTGCAGAAAACTCCAAACTCACTAGCCGGGTTTTTGAATTCTTGATTAAACTTGAGTTCTAAATACACACTCTCGCCGGGTTTTTGAATTCTTGATTTAACTTGAGTTTTGGTCCTCAACTTCTTGTCTTAACTCGAGTCTTAACTGCTGGACATCGGCTTTGACCTCAGCTTTTACTTCCTGAACGTCGTTTTTAACTTCTTGCACATCGTCTTTAACTACTCGAACATCATCTTTAACTTCTTGAACATCTTCTTTAACTTCGGCTTTAACTTCCTTAATCTTTTGTTCCAGGTTAGCGACAGATCCTTATATGGTTTGAAATATTTTCATCAGTTCTCCAATGTCTTCTTGCCGTTCGTGTTGTCGCCTAGCCTCTTCTTGTTGTTTTTCTTGTTGTCGTTTAGCCTTCTCTTGTTGTAGTCTAGCTTCTTCGTCTTGGTTTTCATGTCGTTTTGTCTCTTCATGTTCCAACATTTTGCGCAGAAGTTCTTCAATTTTTTGTTCTTCCATTTTTGCTTGTTGTCTCGTAATAGGAATACACAGAATGCTCTGGAATTTCCCTCAAACTCTTTTCAAATATCTTTCCTGGTCTTTTATTGAAGTTCCAAACACGTCGATAAAGTCACAAATTGGATAACTTGCTTTATTCTCGAATAGAATATTCTAGAATTTGAAGTGAAGTCACAAATTCGATATCTCCCTTGGTTCCCGAATGGAATATTCTAGAACTTACTTGAAAATTCACTATCACAGTCCAAATCGGGTATATAGTTACTTCCGGGGTAATTTACACGATCGGTTAAGTCTCTCTGAACGTTCACGCTAACTTAACGTTAGCGCTAACTCTTTAACATAGCGTAAACGCTAGAATCGGTATGATTGAACATTATTTGTCGATCAGCTGATCTGTTTACCTAGCGTAAACCGCCGAAGTTAACAGGCTGCTTACTTAAGAAAACAAGGAGATTTCGACAAAAAAATCACGTTTTGGTCTTTTGAGCACCCTAACCAAGAGATCGATTATATTTACCATTGCAACTGCGTAAGATTAAATCTGATTAAAGTTTTAGAAAGAAGTTAAAAGACATATTTTGTTGATTCATACTACACCTGGAGGAGTTTGTTATCACTATCTAAAACGTATCACAGCCAATCTTAAACTAACTAAACTAACTGATACCGGGCTTTATATATCTGTAATCTATTCTTGTAAAATCCAGAATAAACGCGATAAGCTCCTTTCTTGAATAAGTCAGTATTTTCTAGATTTTCAGGTTTGAATTCTGTACACACTGGCGAAAGCGCCAAAATATTCTAAAAGACTTAGCGGTTAATATGAAAAATTCAAACGAATGAGATAATAAAGAATTTGTTGTTAAATAAGCGTGGAATAACGTAAGGAAATAACTCAGAAACTTCATTAAAAAAAAAATAAAAAAAAAAACTACCATAAAACGGGGATACTTTGTGACAGATTTGAGGTTTTTTTGAAATTCTCAAACATTTCTTTGCCATATAAAATTCTAGAAAAAATACACTATGTATATACGTTCTTGAAAAAAATAATAATAATTCAGCTTTTTTTAATTTGAAAGTGTCACAATTTTACCCCGTGATGCGGGGTGGGGTAACTTTGTGACAGTGCGTTTTTACAATTAAAACATAATTTAACCCCGTCATTTTTAGTCTGAAACGATACGAAATGTCAAAAAATATATGCTTGCTAATTTTCTGATATTAAAAACACGGGTATATACTGATTTAGACATTTTAAACTTTTATTGTATATCATACGATATAATATTTATCACCCTGATATTTATCCAGAAATTGGGATGTGAACTCCACCCATAGGAAGTCGTCCACATTAGGAGACATATTGATCCTTTTAGCGTTGTTTTAGGTTGAGCATAAGTTTCTCCCATACTAATTACATGTCACAAAGTTACCCCGGTAGGTTACCCTTTTTGTTTATTGTTAAAAAAAAATGTGTCAAATTAATAAATCGAAAGTGTATTCACGTAGATATCCCGACAAGTGACAAGTACCCAAGCAATTAGAAATTTTGACGAATTTTTCTGGGGAGTGTTCAAATTCTGATGTACATGTACAGTAGAAAGTTTGGGCGTTTCGAAAAAGTTGCAAAAACGAGATGCTCCCTTCGAATCAGGCTGCAAGTTACCAAGGGAGCGTACCAGCTTGCCGAACGGTTTTTGTAGCGAGTGAGGTATGTGCTTCCACCAGCCGGTAGAAAAATTTGGCTTCGCGCGCGGAATTTAAAATATTTGGCTAATTTGAATTGAATTTCACAATATCACAAAGTTTCCCCCTTGTCATAAAGTATACCCGTTTTACGGTACTTAAATAAATTTGTCAAATGCTAGAAAAGCCAGAGATTCCAAAAGAAGACCACTTTAAAAACTGCCGAAAAACCAATAAGGAGGTTGAGCAGGCCTCAACCAGGAATAATACCAAGCCTTCATTTCCTACTGGAAAATACTTTTGTATGGTTCCAGTGGAAACTTTACCATATTATAGCGACCGTGGAAATAGTGTGGAAAGATGGAATGGCCTTCTATAGTCTCCAATAGACCTATCTATTTTACCAGACAAAGAGGTAATAATACGAAAACTTCATTAAATAAAAAAAGACACAGAACGCTCATTGCGCAAGACGAGGCAAAACGTACTAAATTATGTTAGACTTACGTATAGCAATCCGTCCTTCTTATTTGCACAGGATAAAAAGGAAAGGAGAAAAACCGCGTGATGTGCAACGTATTTGTCAATGAAAATGTCAAACAACTTTTGAATGACACTTGTCAAGTTGAATATCAACTTTAGATTTATTCTTGTCAGACCACATGCAATGAACAAGGATAAAGAGATGCCCAGCGTGCAAAACGATCACCTCACACCTGTATTAGCTAGCCAATAAAAAGACATTGCCTCGTGTTGCGCGCGCATACCAGGTAAAAATAGATAGGTCTATTGTTCTAAAATTGCAGCCCAACGCTACATCCCATCAGTGTGGCATTTGTTAACGAAAAAGAATTTTATAATAATAAAAATGACTAATTTGTAATTGTAATAGAATTATTGATGATGAACGGATAAGATAGAATTAATTCTTCGTTTGTTTATTTCATCAGAAATTGCAAATGTAATTCTACTAAAATTTCGAGAAATTATAGTGGTTATACAACTCACTGTACATTATTCCCATATGACACGACAGGATTAAAAAGTGATAATCCTTCCCATATGACACGAGAGGCTTAATAAGTGATAATCCTTTTGCACGGTAACTGGTGTTTTGACATTTTTTGACAAAAAATTTAAATTTTTGATTCGTGAAATTATTAATTAATAAAGAATTGAAGTTTAGTTCGTTGTATAACCTTTTGAATACCACTCAATGTTCCAGGATTACCTAATACTTTTCCCTGACACTCAACGCGTTACCAGCAACACCACTCCTCCTTCGGAGTCGTGGTGTTGCTGCGTAACGCGTTTCGTGACAGGTAAAAGTATTATCCGGTAATCCTGAAACCTCTTGTGGTATTACATTCGATTATACAACTCACTGTACATTTTCCCCATATGACACGAGAGGCTTAACAAGTGATAAGCCTTTTGGGATTATCGCGCTTGGTGGCATTTATAGCAAATTCTATTATAGATTTTTTTTTAAATTTAAAATTATTAAAGTTAAGTTCGTTGTATAACCTTTTGAATACCACTCGATGTTTCAGGATTGCCTAATACTTTTACCTGACACTCAACGCGTTACCAGCAACACTACTCCTCCTTCGGAGTCGTGGTGTTGCTGCGTAACGCGTTTCGTGACAGGTAAAAGTATTATCCGGTAATCCTGAAACCTGAAACCTCTTGTGGTATTACATACATACATACATTTCTCAATTTGATCGTATAATTGTCATTGTGATGGAGCAGTCCTGAAACAATTTTCACCTGTAATGCATTATCCATTTTGGCAGCCAAAACACCCACTTGAAAAAATATATAATTTTTTGGATTTTTTATTTGGAATAAAATATCTCCTGCAATATATTCCAAAAGCCTGACTACATGTTTACCAGATGGCAATGATATAATTTCAAACGGTTTTCCATTTTTAGTTGGAAAAGGTTTCGAGCATCTTATATCGCTATTGTCTAAAATTAATAACAAAAACAAATTGAATATTTAATTTTTAAAAAAATACCAACTTACTCAAATACACCAACAACTCAGTTTGGGCATGAAAAGCCTTTTCATCCAGAGAATCCAAATTATTAACAACTTTCAACACATATCCATCACAATCGATATTTTTAGCAACTAAAATATGGAAATTTTTGTCATCGTAGCCATTCAAAGCCGTTATTCTAGTCACATTCAAACCATATAAATCAAACACAACTTTTTTGGCAACCTCCAGATCGATTTTAGGTCTAACTAGTGTTGCCATTGCAATAGTACCATCAATATAGAGCGAATTATCGTAGATGAGTACCCAAGTATTATGATTTAAATTGAGGCTTTTATGGATAAATTGTTCAATTATCTTATAATAGAATTTGTATAAGGAAACTATAATAGAGAGTACCTACACTGGGTGAGTGAGTAACCAAAACTGCATATAGATGAAAAGATAACAAATCAATAGCCAAGAGTTGAAGTGCGATGCGCATAGGACTTATTTTGGATTCAACTGATTATTAAATTTATTTATGTTTGTTCTCCACTATTTTTTAAAATAAAAATTATTATCTTTATCAGTTAGTGTATATAGTGATAGTGCTAATCATAATGAGATTTGATTTTATGTTCAAAGACTTGGTTTTCAAAACAACAATATTGTTTCTAGAGTAATAATTAAAAATAGAAGATTGCAAATGAAAATATTTGGATCTAATTACTTGGGCAAAGCCTCAAAATAATACAACGGAAGTACTAGCAGTAATGAAATTCGAATACTTACATACGTTGTTGTTGCTGTATTAGTAAAATTGTTTAGGTATAACTTCTTTTATATCCTACTGACCTATTAAAACCATATAATACCTTGGTTACGATAATCATAAACAGGGTCTTAACTCCCAAGGGAGTTAAGGATTTTCATAACTCCCAAGGGAGTTAAGGAAGGGAGTTAAGGATATCATAACTCCCAAGGGAGTTAAGGATTTCCATAACTCCCGCTTTTACCTTGAATAGGTAACACTTTGACAAAAAATAGAAATTTTGATTTATGGCTTATTCCTTTATAAAAATAGACAGAATACAGTAAATTCAGTAGGATATAAAATTATATATGTACCACGGGAATTATCAGGAGTTAATACCCACGGGCAATTGGTGTCCCTCGGGCCGGAGGCCCTCGGGACACAAACGTTGCCCTGGGGTATTAACACCTGCATAATTCCCTTGATACATAAATAACTATTTTGACCCGCCGACGTTCAATTTATCATTGACTTTACCTTGACAGCTGATTCAATTTTATAGCGCGTCATTGCCTCTAGATATATCTAGATTATTATCCACTAAAATTCCCTTCGCGAATTTTCTAGTCATAAGAGAGTGTTGCAAGATTGTCCCAATTTCCTTGAGAGATTTACCTACATACCCAGCACTGTCGTCTTCCTCAAGACGAACAGCCCGAACAGGTACAACCGTTAGCTTGGCTTTGGGAAAAATATGAATCGTCTACACCAAGTTTTTGATCTACTTAAGGATCCTGTATAGGGTCCGAAGTCTTTTAATTTCGGGATTCGATTACATATTCACTTTTCTTAGCTGTCGATGATACAACCGCATCGACTTTCTAAAGGTGTCCAATTATTGAAATCTGTACAGTCTCATTTTCATTCTGTCGCTGCTCAACCTCAGACGTAATCTGTTCCTGGCGAAGTCATAAACTACTCCGAGCCTTTACTGGAGATCAGCCATGTAAACTGGGATTACAGATTCATCTTAATCGGCTGGCGGTCTAAGAAACATTACATCTACGGGAAGCTTCTAGCAGAAGCAAAAAAGCTTTCTGAAGAGTTGCACCCGTAAACAAATATCCCAACGTAATTAAAAAATTGTAATTGAAAAATGTTACAACAAGCCGTCACATGCATTTTGGACTGGAGGTAAGCTGCTAGACTAATTTGCTACCAATACTCTTCCTACAATGCCAAAATTAAGTACAGACAGAATGAGTCGTGTCAAAATCAGTCGAATATCTCACATGTTCTTATCAAGTTATGAAGTATGTCTACCTACCTATGCATCGTGTCAGATATCAATTATTCATCCAATCTACTACATCATTAAAAGTCTCTCGACTCCAAAGATCACAGGAAAAAATACGGAATGGAAATAGGTAATCTTTATTAGGGCCGGTTTATCCACTTTTTGATAAACTGCCAGGTATGCAATCTAACTGATTAAAACGCAATCTGTAATCCCATCCAGTTATTCGCTGACCAGTAGAATTATACAACAGTAAATTTATCTTGCAGATGGATAACCCGGGTCTTAGTGGGGGTTTGCAAGTTCCAGATAGAGGCCATTATAATTTTTGAGTTATTTTTTTTTTATGAGATATTCATTAGCAATTAAACTGTTTTTCATACTTCGTAGAGGTTGAAAATTATGGCTACTTTACATTTTTAATAATTAATTTGTTTTTCAAATGCATAATGTATTAGACACTAAGGTAAAAACCTGTTAGAATTTTTTTTTTCTGTAAAAAAATCCGTATGTGAGAGAATAGGAAACCATAATTATATGTTCGAGAACTTATCTATCGATATAATTTGGTGCATATTGGATAATTTACATGCGACGTTTCATAAATAATTTCCGAGGATATTTTTTTTTTCTCAGTATCATCGATAAGGCAGATCATTCTTCCAAATCTTAAAACTTGCACCCCTGCTTGCATCAAATGATTGCACTGCAAGCTGTAGATACTATCCGTCTACCATTCCAAGAATCAAGATGTGCATTCGAATTTACTTTATGGGGCAAATCTTCACAAACTAAATAATTCCTAATCATTCTAAGACATGATTTTGAGCTTTCATTAGCTTTATTTTCAATAATTGCTTACTAGCTACGACTTTATACAGGGTCTCACGAAAGTCAAGCATTCCGGACACATGTTTATTTAAAAAAAAAAAAAACTTAATTATTACGAGATCTGCCATCCCTGGAAGTTTGTAACAAACCTTTCATGACACCCTGTATAATACATACAGTGAGGACATAAAGTCCGTCGCCCCCCCTCTAACTTTGAACCGCTCGGTATATTGCAACGAAATTTTGAATGATGATATGTGACTAGATTCTCCATGTTTTGAAAATCAAATGACAGCTTCAGCTGTCAAAATGACAGCTAGGTGCAGTTTTGGAACGTTTTTTTAAATAGAAGGCGGTGTCGAATGATATATCGTTTTAAAGGTTTCTTTATTCTTAATTTAATCCCTGATTCTGAAAACATTTGGTTTAGCGGTTTTCAAATGATGACGAAAAAACAAAGGCTTGTTTTGCTCATAAACACTCTTGAAAAAAAAAATTAAAAAATTTTTATCGCTTTTTTATTCATTATTGTCTTTTTTTCAGTAATAATAATGACGTCATGACATTGGTAACTTGAATAATGAATAAAAAACCGATAAAAAAAATTTTAATTTTTTTTTTTTATGAGTGTTTATGAGCAAAACAAGCTTTGGTTTTTTCGTCATAGTTTGAAAACCGCTAAACCAAATGTTTTCAGAATCAGGGATTAAATTTAGAATGAAGAGACCTTCAAAACGATATATCATTCGACACCGCCTTCTATTTAAAAAAACGTATCAAAACTGCGCCTAGCTGTCATTTTGACAGCTGAAGCTGTCATTTGTTTTCCAAAAAATGGAGAATCTATTCACATATCATCATTCCAAATTTCGTTGCAATATACCGAGCGGTTCAAAAGTTAGAGGGGGGGCGACGGACTTTATGTCCTCACTGTATAATTTTACCCGCAATTTCCAGAGATTATCAAGTTTTCTTAAAATTTCTATCGATGGATTGCTAAATACTTTTCAGTTTTCTACAAGGTTTTCTTGAACATACGCTGCTATCCTGAGTATGCGTTTGAATCAGTCTTTATTTGTGAATTCCTTTGGAGTCTGCCTTTATATTTATCCTTTTCATTGATCTCTTTGGTTAATTTTTGTATCTCTTCGTGAAGTTGTTTTTCTGAGCATCCGTTTCAATTGGTAGATCTAGTGCGGAACTAGTGCAATTTTTTCTATTCCTGTCTTTTTCTTCTACAGGTCGATTAAAAGGATGCAGATACACGCGGTGCGCACTGAATCTACCAATCGGAAACGCCATAAAAGTATCTACAAAGTTCAATATAATATCAGTACTGTCATCTATCCATCATCAGCATAAAATTCAAAATATCTATTATTAAAAAAAGGTACCGCCATCTAGTATCGGATAGATTTATTTTTTTAAATATTTTTATTATTTCGCATTTGACAGTCATTTGTATTTTCATTTAAAGAAATTATATATATCTCACTTTTAGCAAATGGATATATTTCTGTCTTTCTCTAACTTCTGATCTGAAATGATAAATTTTGGCTTAATTAGTGGTTTTTTGTTTTCAACATAAGCTTAATTTAAATTATTGTAGTTTGTAAGCAATTGAAATAATTCTAGTGGATTTTTATCTATTCTCTTTTAATCCACGTGGTGTTCCATTTATTAAGTGAGCACCGGTCTTTTGTGTGTGGAGTGTTGTATTCTGATTGGTTGATCTGGTTAATACGCAGTTGAGTATAAAAAACACAAGATTGGTTGCCTGTAGGGTTTGGTTTGTAAAACCTCCTCTTCGTCTGGCAGTGCTCTAGCAGGCAAGTCAAATTTGATTTTTGTAATTTTTTCCTTCAGATTTCTAGATTCTCCCTTATAATTTTTCAATTTATTTTGCCATCATTGTTGAGTTTTTACCTGATAAATCTTATCTTATCTACTTTTGAAATATAAATATTATATTTCAATTTTTTGTCTTATTGTGGGTCTCCATTTTGTGTGTGATTTCCGATTGGTGGTTCTGTCGTAGGCATAATGCAAATTTGGGCTTTTTATAATTTGCCTAGGCATTTCACAAAAAGCCGGCAAAACGCAAGCATAAAATGCATTTTTCGTTATGCCGGCACAAATTCAGGCAAACTGATAAAATGCCGGCAAAACAGAAACAGAAGAATATATATCATGTTGTGACTGATTATTTTTAGGCATTTTACAATTTGCCAAAAACGGTGCCGTCAAAACGTGAAAATAAAGTCGAAAATACTATTAAATACATAATACAGTTACAGTAAATCTTTTTATTTAGAAAACATATATAAAGGGATGTGACAAAATTATGAATTAGAATATATTATCGTATTGTCCGGGCATTATGATTAATGCTGGAGTGAAGTGGATAACGTCCCTGATTAAAATTGCAAACTAACCCAGACTAACCGGGTTATTATCAGTAAGTTTGATAATGCCTGATTAAAATTGCCAATTAACCTAAACTAACTGGGTTATTATCGGTAAGTTTGATAATGATAACGGAGAAATAAAAATGCGTGTGTGTGTGTTTCCCGCAGGCTGGCAGGAAAATCTATCACACGTTCTACTACGCGGCAGTTCAATAACAGCTGTTCGGAGTGCTCCAACCCAACTGTTCCGAGTACGCGAACTGTTCGGAGTACTCCAACTGTTTGGAGTGAACCAGAGTATGAGTACTTCGGCTCCTACTGTTTAGAGTACTGCTAAGATCGGAGTAATCTAACTGCTCGGAGTACTCCTACTGGTCGGAATACTCTAACTGTTCAAAGTACTCCTACTGATCGAAGTACGCCAACTGTTCAAAGTACCTCCAACTGTTGGGAGTACTCCAAGTACACCAACTCTTCGGAATACTCCGGTTACTCCTACTGTTTGAGTACTCCTACTGTTTGGAGCACTTCGAGTACTCTAACTGTTCAGACTATTCCAAGAGTTCGGAGTACATTGCCAAACTTACCGATAATAACCAGGTTAGTTTGCGATTTTATTCAGACATTACCAAACTTACCGATAATAACCCGGTCATCATTTATAATGCCGTGTGGGCAATCTGATATTTTCTATATAATTCATAAATTTTGTCATATCTCCTTGGCACTTTCTAAATTGCCCGGGCATTAAATTTAATGCTCAATTATTTACTTTGCTCGTAACAAAATACAATACCAGAAAAAACACTACTACGAACTGATTTTTCATTCGAAATTTGAAACGAGTCCAAACAGTGAACAAACACTCAAGTCATTAACCGTCGTAAAAGCATAACCTCGAAATCAAAGGAGCTAGAGTACATTTTGGTCTGCAGCCGCGAATTTCAAGGACTAGTACGGATTAGGTGGACGGGTTAGTTTGGGTTAGTTTGCATACTTTTGGTTAGTTTCGTTACAGTTTGTTTAATACTAGTTAAAAGTGTACTGGTTAATAACAAAGCGCGCAAAGCGGAAACGGAATGCGAGAGGAAAGAACGAATTTCAGATTTGTCATTAGCGACTAAAATTATACCTTTCTACAAAAACTCAACAAATTCGGATTGGGTAACGGATAATAGATAATTACCCTAATACCTAATCAAAAAAAGTCGACTTGTTTTATATCTATTCACGTTTTGAGGGCACCGTTTTTGGCAAATTGTGAAATGCCTAAAAATAATCAGTCACAACATTCTTCTGTTTCTGTCTTGCCGGCATTTTATCAGTTTGCATGAATTGTTGTCGGCATAACGAAAAATTCATTTTATGCTTGCGTTTTGCCGGCTTTTTGTTAAATGCCTAGGCATTTTAGGAAAAGCCTAAATTTGCTTTATGCCTACGACAGTTCCACGTTTTTCTGAGGTAAGTCGATTCAGATTTCTAGGTTAATAAATAGGTACTGCTGCTCTGGTTTTCAGAATCAATTGTTAGTGTGGGAAAATTGGATCATTTGCTCTAAATAGAGTCGGTGAAAACCAAATTTGTGTGTCCATCCCTATCAACTCTATTGAATCCAGGCAGAGGCCTGTTTAGCCATTTTCTGTTTGACTCCTTCCGTTAATATCTTCTCTAGGAGATAAGTGTTGAAAAAAGTGTAATTTTTAAAATAGAAATCCAGAGAGGTCAGAAAATTCTTTTAAAATTTTTAATCAAAACATCTCAAGTAGTGGTGCCGCGAGACGAGACTAGACGAGACCGTGTTTTAGTCGCGGTCTCGAGTACTAAAGTCTCGTCTCGTCTCGAGTGGTCTCGTCTGGTCTCGAGTTATACAGGGTGTCCAAAAAATAGCGTAAAAACTCTTCTCTACGTGGTGGAGGACCCTACAAGGAACCCCAGAAAAATACTTTCAAAAATCTAGTGGCATTCTTAGGAAAGTTATTGCATTTTAATATTTTTATTAAAATTGGCAACACTGAAAATATCCCGTTGACAATATGTCAGAGAATTAAATTAAATACCCATGTAACTACCTGAAGAATTCGAAGGTGAATTTTCACATCTACCTATTCATATTACCAAGAATAATACTGGAGAAGGATTTTTTTAATTTAATTATTTTTTTAGGATTTCTCAAAGGGTACTCTACTACGTGGAGAGTTTTTACGCTATTTTTCGGACACCCTGTATTTATGGTTTCGTTTTTATATTATAACGGAAGTCCAAACTGCCACAGTGAAAAAGCAGTTAGTGAAAAATCACAGTAAAGAGTAACCCTGGTATTTAATTTACTGATTTCATATTCAAATAGCCCAGAATAGTCCAATAATAAACCTATGAAAGAAAAATTTTAAGTGTAATCTCGAGACTAAACGAGACTCTCGCCGAGTCTGGTCTCGTCTCGTCGAGACTTCACGAGATGAGACCAAAAGCCAGTCTCGTCTCGAAAAGTCGAGACGAGACGAGACGAGACGAGACCAACTGACTGAGTTAGGTCTCGAGTCTCGCGGCATCACTAATCTCAAGAATTTTGTCAGTTCCTGGATTTGATTGATTTCACCCTCAGGTTTGTCTTGTAGTATCTATGGTAGGTACCTTAACTAAAAGGGAAAAATTTAAATTTGTCTAGTTGGGGAGAATCTAGAGATTTAATTTTGTATTTTTTTATCTGACTCAACTTTTCCTACATTTGTTTTTATTCTTGCTTGTTTATTGCTACTGCCAGAAAAGCAGCACCCTGCTCAATTTGTAACGAGCATTTTAATTTAATCTTGCTGTTATTACCTATTTTACTATTTACTATTATTTTATCAATATTTCCAATTATTTAATTGTTTTTTTTTTATATTAAAATATTTTGATTCTGTTGGGAAGGAGTGTCTGCACAACAATGGTTTTATAATAAACTAATTTCAATTTAAATCTTCTCTGCAAGGCACTCGCTTTTTCGACAGAATTCAGGGATTTAATATTCCAAATCTTGGTGAACCTGATAGTGCCTTATTCTTTTCTGGGTACCTACTCGACATAAATATCACTCTTTGGAGTCTGGAACAGCTGTGATGTCACACCAGCAATCTATCCTCTTTCCTGGATACAGGAAACAACACGAAGAGCTCTGGATTGGAAAAAGTACATACAGTATCCGTGTGTCACCAGTACAACTAAGCTGTTAACTAGCAAATTCTCAAAAGCAACTTGTTACTTACATTGTTACATTTGCAAATATTTAAATAATGAAAATAAAATTATTGTTTGTTGGAATTTGAGTGGTTTCATTTGCATGTCACAATATTTTTCTTGTTTGTGGGGCAAACCATTTCTTGAAGTCCAACGGCTTCACGCGTGACAAAGGTTTTCAACAAGAATCGCCTACACTTTTTAAGATAGGTATATCTCGCACATTGAGCATTGAAAGGCAACAATCTTTTTTTTTCTTTAGCCAGCTGTTACATAAACCAGCAGACCAATACACCATTAATGTTTAGATTCAATTTGCGAATTCAAGTTAACATTTCTGTTCCCATATTTTAATTATATTCCTATAAACCTATTATCGGAATGAATACAAAAATAGTATATTACAATCTGAGACGGGAAATTAGTTATTACTGTCGAGAGATTTTATAGTTTACCGAGACGCGTAGCGTCGAGATAAACTATATCTCGAGACAGTAATTAAATTTCCTGTCGAGCATAGTATACTATTTTATTTTTAACCATAATTTTTGCTAATTTAAATTAGAAATGAAATTGAATGTGAACGTAGCTTCATGCTATTTGCTTGAATTTTATGTCATTCTCATCAATTTTGAAAAAAATTTGACAATACCTGCCACATTAATATAATGACACGAGGACGGGAAGTGAGGACGGGAAATGGGGACGGGAAGTGGAGCAGGGAAATGAAAAGACAGTAAAGTGACATTTCCAAATTTTTAAAAAGACTGTAATGTCAACATTACATATATGGTTAAAAATAAAATAAGTAATCTTATTTTTGATGCGGCCATTTTCAACTTAATCCTTATTCTATTATTGAGTGTGCATTTTACACTATCTACCCCCTCCTCCCCTCTCGGCTCAAATTCTACTTATAAAACTCCCGCTGCTTGAAAAAATCTTTAGTTTCCCAGTCAGTATTCGTCATGGAAGTGCATATTCTGCGTTTCGCTAGAAACTTAATGATTTTGGTTGGTGTTTGGCAAGACGACTTTTCTTGTACTACAAAACAAAAAATTTACCACATATTCTCTTACATTATTCATGGTTTATTTTCAACAGTATGCTTCATGATCCTTATGGAACTCCCGAATTTATTGGGAAATGTGAGGAAACTCCTCGATGATAGTTTTTTTGTATCTGTCGCAGTTTTAACATCAGTGAAAATCGCTATATTCCGAAGCCGTAAGTTTCAACATTTGATTAATCAAGTCATTGGTGAAGAACAAGATATGCGTACTGATCTAGATGAAGATGAACACATGATATATCTAAAATATGCTAATTACGTATACAAGCTTTCTACTGCCGTATTGGTTGGTGTTGCTAGCACCACTTTGTATTTAATAATCAAGCCCATTATACAGGGAATGATAAACCCGGACGTTGAAAAACCAATGATAGTTATTGCCAGGGTACCATTCGACCAAGACCAACATTATAGAGCATCTTTGATGGTTCAGTCTATGTATTTTACAGTAGGTTCGGTATATTATTGTACGACGCAAATTTTTTACATAAGTATAACGACTTTTGTTAAATCACAATTGAAAATTTTGCAATATCGGTTTAGAAATTTTGACGCATATAGGAAGAGGTTTGATTCGTCGATGACTGATGAGGATGTGATAAAGAAGCTGATTAGATATCATATTGTTATAATGAGGTAAGAATCAAGCATCAATAAATTCAATATGTGTTATGCCTAAACCTCAAAATTAGTGATTTCTTAAGTTAAATATCTTGGAAACTGGTAGATACTTATATCATTTTTAAGCGAATTGAGGTTTTCCTATCATCATCATTTGGAAGGCTTTGCATTTGTTTATATTCAAATTATACTTTTTGTTTGTTCTTTTAGATTTGCTAAAGAGTTAAATGACGCTATAAAGTATATGTTACTTATGGAATATGTATTGATTTCAATAACCATTGCAACAGTAACTTTTCGATTGATATTGGTAAGTACCTAGATAACTAATAGGTACCTACTAATTATGGTATGAATGAGTTGATCTCAAAGGTGCTCAGGTTTGCCAACTCAAGGAGTCGGAGTCTTTGGTTGTCCATCTGTTGCTGCATTTGGAAGGAGATTGCAACCGTTGCTTGCTGGATAGTTCTCAAAATAAGTTTTATCTGTTTTTTGGAATGGGCTCTTTCACTAAAATTTAAATACGTAATTTAAGTATAAAATCTCAAAGGAGGGACTATTTTAGGCATATATACCAAAAAAAAAATGTTCTACAAGGTTCAATAAGTTTTTCATAGGCAATCAAAAGTGCCTAAATTCAAACTATTTTAAAACGCGCCGATTTGCCGACGTCACATAAATATTCTTCATTTCGCTTATGTCGTTGCAAGGAGGAAGGGCTCGGCTGTGTTTGCGCTCTGTAAAGATACGTAAAGGTTCGAATGCGCTGTTGTCGGTTGTGACTAAATGTAGTGCAGCGTAAAATAAATAAATAAAACTAAACATAAAAAATTGCATTAAATTGTATTTAAGCATAATTTAAAAAAAAAAAATGTTATAAAATCTTGAATCTATAACTAATTAATTTAACTACTTTTCATGAGATTTTGCCAACATTTCAGAATTAAATCTATTACAAATTTTCAATGTTGACAATTAGTGGCAACACGGTCAAATTGCGAGCTGCGACGTCATAGAAATAAATTCTGGCTTTTTATTTGGAGGTATTTCTTTGTTTTCTGTTTTCTCAAGAAGGACTTTGAATTTTTCAAAAGTAAAAATACAGAAAATTCTGTTTTTAGTTGCTTTATCCAAATATGCCAATTTCAAAAATTAGTGAAAGAGCCCATTCACAGCAATTGAATAGTTATTAATTTGGTGAATTCATTAGGATATTGTTTTTTATGTGCTTAGGTTTAGGTATGCTGTAAAACTATATTGTAAATTGTTTTTTTATTGTTATTGTAAATTGGCCTTGCCGTAAATGAATAAAACGTGCAATTCACCGCTCGCTAGTAGGAAAAAAATTATCACACTCAACTCATTACTTGCTCAACCAATTAACTCATATTGTTTCTGAAATGTATTTTAGGTTGAAGGGGCCAATGAACTCGTCCTGTCTATCAGTTGTTCGGCAGTGTTAATTGCTCAGCTTTTTATATTAGGTTCTCATGCAGACGATATAAGTATTGAGGTAAGTTTAAAAAAATACTTAAGTCTTACATAAATTATTGTTGTCATAGGTTTAGTTGTTATTGTCATAAGTTTAAGAGCTACCGTCTTTAGTTATTGGTAAATAGAAGGGCATGCCGTTTTACGAACTTCAATTCAAGACCGAGGTAGTACTTTGTGGTAGTGAAATTAACGCTGCAGGAGTTTATCTATCGTATCAGTTTCCATTATCTTTGCTCTACCTATATTTACTATGTTTAGCTTTTTTAAGTGGGTGCCTAAGATTAACTACCTAAAAGGACATTAACGCCCTTAAACTTTAATCAAAGCGATGTAAATACCTAGAAATTATGGCTGAGTTCGGCTTTGCACTCCACGGAGTGGAACGGTATGAGCATGGATATTGTAGTTGATATTGTATAGGTAGATACAGCAGTTGAATGTACAATGTACATTTTGGAACATATAAAAATATATTCCTAGAAAAAGCCATGCTGGAACTGACTCTGCAACGGTCTCAGCAGTCAATAATGCCCCCAAGGGGTGTACTGTCCCCACAGACAGCGTAAAACCGATTGGCAACTGTACAAAGGTATGCTTATCATGGAATTACAGGAGCAATGAACACCTTTCCAACCGCCGAAATGGAGGTCATGTTGGGTCTCTCCTCACTCGATATATCATTGAAGAAAGAGGCCCACATGGGAGCCTCAAAAATAATACAGTCCCTAAAACTAAATGAAAGAATGCATAAATGTGACCACAAAATCAGTTGACCACATGCAACACAGGTACGAATTTGAACACTCCTTCAAAGTGACTATTGAGGGGTGCGAAGGTGTATGCGGCTGGATTGAAAACAGAGCAAGGGACTAGAGCAGGAGTATTCGGCCCACTTTGTATCTATCAACAGCCCTAAGAGAAAGCCCAACCATATTTCAAGCGGAAATATTCGCAATAGAACTTTGCGCTAGAAAGTGTCTTGAAAGAGACCTGCGAAAAGCAAAGATCTATATCAATTCCGACAGTCAGGCAGTACTAAGAACTCCGAGTAGCTCTGTCACTGAATCCAGACTGCCAACAACTCCTAAAACAACTGGCTTCACGCAATAGAGTCACCCTGAGATGGGTACCAGGCAATGAAGTAGTCGGAAGGTTTGGAATGGCACCTTGCCTATCTCCTATATACGTATATTTGCGGCCAAGATTAGAGTGAGAGAGCGGGAGAGATCCGTGAGATCCAATAGATTTTCTGCCCTTACTAGCGCTATCTCATTCTGGAAACATTTGAGTGACGCAGAGCTCATTCCATTTTTTAGATATAAAAGAACATAAATATTGCGATAATATTAAATTAACAATATTATCAACAAAATTTATATCGTAGGATACGGTAAAAACATGCTCGCTTTTCAAATATGGAATAAAAAATCGGGTATTCCATTTAAAAAAACAAAGATGTACGTCGTAACTCTTTTGTTTCTGATTCAATTGTTTTCCAAGTGAAATTTTCAAATTCTATGAAAAAAGTTATATCTAACTGCTATATCTTCGTGCTCTCCAAAAATAAAGGAAAAGTCAAAATTAAGGCCGTGTTCAGTCCTCGTTGGCGGACCCTGTACAATAAAAATACCCTGATAAAAAACGGAAAATTTTTCAAAAAAATAATGGAATTATAGATTCCGAACGCGAAGAAGAGAATGAAGATAGAGAAAATTGAAGGGGAGGAGAGATGGTGATGACCTACATGATCTATAATACATAGCTGGTGGTGACAGTAATGTCAATGTGAGTTCTGATGATACTTAGGCTATGTTCCAAATATAACTAAACGTTAACCAAAGTATCCGAATCGGTTGACAGATGGTTACTAAAAATTCCGGTTACTTGGGGAACGCGAATATGAAATAAAAAATAATTGACAGAATTTACAGATAAAACCAACAGAACTGACTTCCGATGATAGCCGGTAACTATTTTGACATTTGGTTAACCAGATTTCAGGAAACCAAGGTCCAAAAGTGACCACTTTTCCAGGAACCAGAGTAATTTGATTGCTTTGCAACCGCGAAAACACAAACCTGGTTATAATCGGACCACAGCCTTAATAGTATATTATATAATAAGTGTGGTAACTAGGTTATTACCGCACGCGAGAGAAATTTGCAAACCGAGCCGGCGCCGGCGAGGCGAGGTTTGCAATCTCTAAGGGCGGTAATAACCTAATTACCATACGTATTATATACAGCATTTTATCTACAACCGTGCGGTAACAAAATCACAGATTAACAAAATGTCCAAAAGAAGTTTAAAAAATTAAAAAAAAAAATGCGTCTGTCACCTTTGACAGTGGACAAGCAGAATTTAGATGATAGGTAGGTAATTCACCTCTGGTAGGTAATTGAAGGAACGTACCTATGTAGATAGAGCGTGCGGTGATATGGTACTTACTGCACGCAAAATCGTGTAATATACCATAGTTACCGCATGCTTGTCGATAAATGATATAAACATAATATTATTATTCTATTATTTGTACACTAAAGAGTAAACACTGAATTCTGTGAGCTTTGGAAACCGCAGTCAACTCGTTGGAAGAGCTGCTTTAAGCTAAAGCCATATTTTTGCTAGCCAGACTTCTTAAGACATGTCTGTAGACATTTTAAGTATTTTGAAGTTTGACGTCATCAATTATCCTGAACGCAAAAGCGGCCTGTTTTAAGCGAAAGCTGTCATCTGACTCATCTGTCACATTTGTTCACGTTTATTTATCATCCTGTTTCACAGTTCACCGTTTCCATGCTCAAAAAATTTCGAGAAATGTTTATTTAAAATTATAAATACATAAAGGGCATTAAACGATCACAAAAACGTGAACAATTGGAAAATTACCGCGATTTTTCCATTTTCAATATACTGTGAATCCCCTCTCTCTCGCTCAAGATTTTTGTGGCGTGCTTTGGAGGGCGCTCAAAAAATCTGCAAGCTACATAAAGACTGACGTCATGTCTTGTCCGCGAAAATGACAGTTCTACTAGTTGCTTAGTGCGTCTTATCCGCAAAAATATGGCTTAAATCCAACGAAACCAGTTCCATTTAGACATAATCTTTATTCAATACCTACTAAAAATTATACTAATTTATGTAAGACATATAACCCGTTTCAATTAGATAATCACCATGTTTATGCTTCCCGTTAATCCGTTTTAGCAGAAAACGTTTTACTATAAAACGCTTGTATAAACACCCCATAAACCGTTTTATCTCGTTAAACCGGTTTGATTTAAAACGTTCTAAAAACGCGTTTTAATCAATTTGGAAACGGTTTAAATACTGCGTAAACATCTCAAACCGTTTTAAGAGAGTGCCCGCACTTCTTTTCATGAGATTTAAAAACTGTTTAGGAGAAAGCACCAGAAGTATAAACACAGGATAAAACGTTTTAGATTGGAAAACGTTTTAGCGGTTAAAACGGTTTAACGGAAGCATAAACTTAATAAATGATAAAACATGTTAAACTATAATGTAATCGGATTCACACTGTCATGGATAAAAGCATCCTCATAATATGCCTAGTTTATAATTTGATTTCTTCCAGAGCGTTGCTGTAGCAGATGCTGTATACGAAATGAACTGGTACGAGAAAAGTCTTCAAGTACAGGACATGGCGTTGATCGTTATAATGCGCTCTCAAAAACCATTATCTTTGACTATTGGCCCTTTTGCAACTTTGACTACCGGAACAATCATACCTGTAAGAAAATCCACAATATTTTAATAGGTACAAAGAATGGCAAAATTTGATAATAATTTCCAGGTGATAAATGCAGCATATTCCTATATTACTATAATGAGGAGAATTATTCAACGTCTTGATGAGCTTTAGAGAATTACTCTATATAATTTGACTGGTTTGATTTGAAGCAAAGAAATTATATTTCTAATCTAGCCCAAGGACCACAGCGCAGCGCACAGCACCTAAAAATAGATTTAGACGTTGAAATTCGAAAATTTTATATGCAAAATTCGAAACTAATTCTTTTACAGGGTGTTAATGAATCTAGTGACATGCAGACGTTAATTGAAATTGATGAAAAATTTTCTTGCCTTGACTATGATTTGAACTCGGAAGACCCTCGCATAGCCAGTACAATGCTCTAACCCACTGAGCTACCAAGATCTGTCTCATTTCTACCTTTTCAGTCAAATCTTTCATCATGCCTGCAGGTCTCCGTAGCTCAGTTCAGATGGTTAGAACATTGCAGTCGATATGCGAGGGTCCTAGGTTCAAATCGTAGTCGAGGCAAGAAAATTTTTCATCAATTTTCAACGTCTACGTACTGCGTACAGGCGATAAAACTAGAAAAATTGGTAGTTTTTCTGTTGAATCCTGTCATTGAAAATTACGGTGTCACCAAATGTGAATAAAGAATTTGCCCAATCGGCCACTTTCACGTGTCGGGAGTATGGCAAATTATGATATTTTTTGACGCAGATAGGTACATCAATGCAACCGAGAATAAACAATATTTTGCAAGATATTAGTTAGATTATTAAATAAATTAATAAATAAAAACTAAAAATTTAAACGAAAAATCACGTGATTGAAAACGCTCTCTGATTGGCTAAAGCTGATGTTGACGTTTTTGTTGCCACATGATTAAGTACCTATTCCCTAAAATGACATTTCTCCATGGAAAACTGTCAATTTAGGGAATACTTATTGTTAAGGCATCCCTAAAATAGTTGGTGCAAACGGCCATAAAAGAATAATTCAAATATGTTTTTGAAAAATGTGAAAGTGGCCCATTCCACCTATTTGCATAGCAACGCGTTGACATTGAAGTTCATTGACAAAATTAAAGAAAAATATTGCTAAGACATATCGGGTCTTCAAAAAAAAACCAATCAAAGATTGCTTTGGTTCCGAAAACGTACGTCGCATTATTGTTTCTTTATTGGCCAGGATTTTTGACATGACATTTTGACATTAAATTTCATTGACTGACATTGTCAAAATTAAAGAAAAATATTGCTAAGACGTACGTTTAAAAAACCATAGCAATCTTTGATTGGTTTTTTTTTTGAAGACCCGATACCTACGTTCAAAAACCATAGCAATCTTTGATTGTTTTTTTTTTTGAAGACCCGATAATACTATATATAGTATAGTTACACCATCTAGACTATAGAATGGGCTCTTTCACTAGAATTTAAATAGGTAATTTAAGTATAACGAGGGGGGTATTCTAGATTATTTTCCAAAATAAAAAAATGTATGAGGTTGAATAAGTAGTTTTCTACAGGCACTTATAGTAACTGGAAAAATTTAAAATCATTAAAATGCGCCAGACGATGACGTATGTTTTAGCATCATACCAATCAAATTTAAGAAAAGTGCTCCAGCAGTCCAGTCTCCGTCTCCAGCGCATTTTATGATTAAAACTATTAAATTTTTTAATGCTACTGAAATGTGCTTTACATCCAATCACACGCCAATTTCAAAAATGAGTGGAAGAGTCCATTTTATTGTAGCTTTCTCAATAAGATGCACATATTTTGTATCTCTAATTTTTGCAATAAACGTTATCCAAGCAAATCAAATGTTGCTTAAATTATCTTTAAAAAATTGGTTAACCAGAAAACAAGAATGTAGAATTTCTGAATAATGTTACATACAGGGAGATTCAAGTCACTACCAGCAAACAAATGTTTGGGTTAGTGCGACAAGTGAGGGAACCTGTGTGGAAGGAATGCGGGCAAAACGCTCCTGGATTGGCGGGAGATTAAATATACAAATACGCAGGTGGTCGCGTCAGGGTAACCGCAATTTTCGCAATGCACCACGTCGGGGACACGTCGCGTCGTATAGTATAGATTTTCGTCTTCCCCTCTGCTACTTCATACGTTACCAAGGTTTACTCAGTTGTGGCACTTTACACGTGAAGCAGTGGTGGGTATTTGTGCTGGATATACACTGTGGGCTAAATTTATTTGGAACCCAATTTGGCTCTGAATATATTTTTTGTTGATTCGAAGAATTTTTGTGACATTTTGTGTAAATATTAGGAGGGCCTTTCCTTAATAATTGTTGAAAAAATATCTGATCAAAATGTACAGGGGGAGCCAAGTAAGAAGCAGTATTTTCAATTATTGCCTTTGAGGCCGTTCCAAAATAATTAAAAAATTTAAAAACCCTAAAACTGCCTAAATTATTTGAAAACATTAAGAAAATATCAAGTCTCATTTTTTTTTTCAAAGATAAAAGTCAAAATGGCATTCGCATTATGTTGGCAATAGGTACAATGTAAAAGTAGCCAAAGGTAAATGAAAACATCTGTGTATTGAGGGAATTATAAAGAAATCTGTAGTTATTTTGAGAAATCTGTAATTATTTTTGGGGATAGACATGCTGTGCTGCCAATTTTTCGGTTAGGAGGAGTGACGAGTGACTTTGATGGACTTGATGGAGGTTGGAGGTTAATGTTTATCGTAATTAATTACAAATTTGGTTACTTTGGTCAGAGCAAACTATCGATAGTACAATCGATAGTTACTATCGATGGGTAGGCTATTCTATCGATATCACTATCGATAGCTCTTTTTTCGATAGTTTGTCAACCCTATTGCACTACTAGGTAAAGACTGTTTTTTTTTTAAAGATAAAAGTCAAAATGACATTATGTTGGCAATACAATGTAAAATTGTCAATGCCTTCAAATTTTTTATGTAGAAAAGACTTGTGTTGCCAATATAGTTACTAAATTTTTGACTTGGGGAATTATCTTTAAAAAAAAACAGACTACTATTTTACTACAGGATGGCCTATCCTCATAAGACCCGTGTGTAGGGCTGCCACCTCTCCGGGTTTCAAACCAGGAGTCTACGGGTTTTCATGGTCTTCGGGCTCCGGATTACTAGGGTTTTGTGTTACTAGGTGTTTTCTCCGGCTAAAACCGCATTGAACAAAAAAAAACGTAAAAAAATTCTTATGTCCAGGAAAAAAAATAAGATTAAGCTACAGCGCAGTACGTACTGTTCCTGCTCTCCCTCAAGGATATTACCAAAGTGTAATATTACACACTACTACAGGATTGCTCATCGGCCTCGTTTTTTGGAATCAAGGTCATATGGTATTGTACTGTTGCCGACATCATCAAGGGTGTCGTCAACTGTTTGCGCCAGCGGTCGTAGTTTAAAATATGCATTTATGATGAAAAATATTATTAAATTCTGAATAACATAATAGGCAAAGAGGAAGATGCGAACGAGTTCTAAAAAGGGTTGTTCTAGAATGTTGCTTATACTAAAACCAAGTATGCATAAAGCCAAAGTCAGCGGAATCATAGCTTGTGTTGCAAACTCCCTACGTCAAGGCGAAGAACGACACGCCGTCTACGTCATCATTGGTTCTTTGGCGTGGTGGGGGGTGGGGGCTTGAGATTTGATCTACAGAGGCCATATGCGGATAGGCTATTCTATGGTTGTCCTATCCTGTGTAGTGTGTAATATCCTTGAAACTCCCTCTCCAACCGTCTCAAATCCCATCCTGAAGCATCATCCGGTGATCCGGTGGGAGACTTGTGTATCTAGATATAATAGATTGTACCTTGCCTAATGCATCTGTTTTTTTTAATTTTTTTTTTCTCCGGTTCAACTCACTTTCAAAGGTGGCCCTACCTGTGTGTAACACATCCCCCCTTCCCTCCGCGCCTAAATACCAGTTGCGACGTAGGCAGCATATTATTTCTCGCCTTGTAGGCTGTTTAAACAGTTGACGACTTAGTTATGACGTCGGAAATGGTATCACACCGATATGGCGGCCGGCGTTTACCAAAAACGAGGCCGATGAGCACTCCTTAGAGTGTGAATTCTCCTTGGTGATGCCCAACTTGTTCCTAAATTTTTGACATGGGGTTTTGTCTTTTAAAAAAAAAAACACACTTTATTATTATTTGTTCAGATATTTTTGAACAAATGTTTGCAAACACTTTTTAAACAGTTGTTATACAGATGCATAAATGTTTGCGAATGAATGTATTGTCCGTCGTTTTTAATCTGACACTTTCCGTATGAGGAGCGAGGGATGAAGCTTATGGCAAAAACAGGTGTGACGTCAGGTGACCATTGGCGTTCTAATGTAGGGAGCCACCAGCTCGCATTCCTTTGGAGTATCAGATTAAAATCGACGTACTGTACTATGTACCTTAGGTCTCGACTAGGCTTTATAGTTTTTTCTAGTTATGGTTTGCGTCTGCTCTAGTTATGAGTACTAGGCTTTAAGCCTAGTACTCATAACTGCGAAATTCGCATTTTTTTGACATTGCTTCGACAATTTGACGTTTGATACACGCATAAAACGTCAAATTGTCAACACAATGTCAAAAAAATGCGAATTTCGCAGTTATGAGTACTAGGCTTAATATAACGCCTGCGCAGTGTCTTATCTTTTGAACAACTGTTCTATATTTTGAAATTCCTTAATTTTCATTGTCCAGATTTTGTGCACACACAATACATGTATCTACTGCGCACGCTCACAGCTGTCCCAGTCAGTTGTTTTTGTTTAGATTTTGACCTCGTAAATTAGCAGCATTAGAAGCGTTCTTTGTTTATCCATTTATTTTTGAGATCAGTGCGTCCGCTCCATCAGCGATGCGGACTGGGGGGCTTTAAGCCTAGTACTCATAACTGCGAAATTCGCATTTTTTTGACATTGCGTTGACAATTTGACGTTTTATGCGTGTATCAAACGTCAAATTGTCGAAGCAATGTCAAAAAAATGCGAATTTCGCAGTTATGAGTACTAGGCTTTATTTGAAATTGATGCAACTTTGCGTACACGCAAATGACGTAATTTGCGATTGAAAAAGTGCATGTCAAATAAGCCGTGCACCAATTTTTGATCGCGAATTACGTCATTTGCGTATACGCAAAGTTGCATCAATTTCAAATAAAGCCCCCCTGATCAATTTGACAAAACAGCGTTCATTAAAAAATTGATGATCGCTACAGTACGCTACGTCCTGGAGTGCGTTCAAAGATGGCAATGCTAATGCCAAAACCTACTTTTCCCCTTCTACCCTACCTGAATGCCAAATCTGGTGTGAATATTGGAACGCCAAATACCGTTTCTCCATTAGGCAATCCAAACCACGTGACATTCAAGATGGCGTGTCGTCCACACATGGACGAAAAAACACACAAAAATATCTAGTTTCTGCCCAACTCAATAGTTTAGGGCCGAATTTATAGTCATTCCTTGAGTCTGCCTTAAAGGTCGTGAGTTCAGAATGGACACTTGGTATTATTTGACAAGTTAGTCATGTCAATTCTAAACGTTCAAGGTTTCCTTAAGGTCCAAGGAAACCTCAAGGAGCGACTATAAATTCGGCCCTTACCTACCTACAAATATTTTATTGAATAATCAAAATCAAAGCTGCAAGCAAAATAATTGAAATATGCATGAAAACACATATTCAAAACTAACTTGCTGGCCGCCACGCCATATTGAATTTAGTCTCATCCAATCAAAATTCGTATAACCATTTCCAGACTCAGTTAAAAACACCTCCAAAAGTTACTTTTTCTACTGACGTTTCATAATAGCAACTTTTCGATTGTCATTTCAGTTTTGAAACGACATTATTTTAGGCACTGAGTGCGTGAAAGTTACTTTTAGGCACTCAGTGCGTAAAAGTGACTTTTGAATGCGTAAAAGTGACTTATGAGTGCGTAAAAGTAATTTTTAAGCACTAGTGCCTAAAAGTGTCAATCATTATTCAGAAATAAAAAACAACACTAAACACATATTTGAATTTTGTTTTGTATTTATTATGAATATTGAAAATGGAATTACTGAATTGAACGTTTGGGTTACTCAAAACAGAACTTTGTGTTATTACCTACTTTCTAGGATTTTAAATATTGATGCCGAATTTTGAAAAGAAAATCGCATGAAAAGTGTCAGGTGTCAAGTAAAAGCAGGTGACAAAGATTTTGGGTGTAATCGACTTATTCACATGAAATAAAATTGTGTTTTTTTTATTATAAAATGCCAGTAGAAAAAATCTTGTATACAATACGTTACGAAACGATGTCTTTTAGTCACTCGACGTGTTGTCCAACTCGGCTGTGCCTCGTTGGACAATTTTCACGTCGCGTGCCTAAAAGACGCTCATTTCGTAACTTATTGTATAAATAGCTATTACCGCGGCCGATTCTGAACGTGTAAAGCCAACCGTTTTTGGCACGCTGGAGCCGAACTTGAACGCAATATGCCAATTTTGACTTGGCTTTAGCCGTTTTTGAACGCAGCCCTGAGCTGCTTTCGGGTTCCACCCTTTGAGCGCTCCCGAGTTACTCCGAAGTACTCCGGCTACAGTTTGACCCGTACGGTTTCAAGCGTTCGAGAGCAAAACGCATGGAGTATGACCCTGAGTATAGCCTAGTACTCATAACTGCGAAATTCGCATTTTTTTGACATTGCGTTGACAATTTGACGTTTAATGCGTGTATCAAATTGTCGAAGCAATGTCAAAAAAATGCGAATTTCGCAGTTATGAGTACTAGGCTTA